CAAAAATTTCGAAAAAAAACCTGCCACGCGAGCCTTCTCCAGGCTCACGGTCGCTGGTGGCGGCTGTGCGGGGTGTATATGGGGGGTTTGGGGGTTTGGGGGTTTAGGGGTTTAGGGTTTTGGGGTTTAAGGGTTTAGGGATTTGGGGGTTTGGGGGTTTAGGGCTTTAGGGGTTTAGGGGGTTGAGGGTTTTGGGGTTTTGGGATTGGGGGTTTAGGGAGTTTAGGGTTTGGGGGTTTAGGGTTTTGGGGTTTAGGGTTTTGGGGTGAAGGGGTTTAGGGATTTAGGGTTCGAGGTTCAGGGAGCGTGGCTTTCGGCTTTCAGGCTCACCAGAGTGGCCGTACTGTAATACTTAGAATCTTAGAAGAGGGCCACTGAGGTATGTTATAGTTAAAGTCTGTTCAGGAACCAAAAGGAACAGTATTGGGAATTCTCTTTGAGGGCTTTCACGCTTAGGGTTTAGGGTTTAGGGCCTGCTGTGTTCCGAATTGCTGGCTCTCAGTTTAGAGGCTGTGGGTTTCAGTGCACAGCGTTCGCGAGCATATGGCGTCGGAAGTGTAGTTGTGGCAGTTGCGACAGCCGTCGTTTTCGTAGTAGTCGTGGTGGTCGTGGTGGCGGTGGCAGCCGTGGTAGTCGTGGGCGAAGTCGCAGTCAGCCACCACCATCATCACCACCACCACCAGCATCGCAACGGGCAACAGACACCCAAACCTCGGCTTCGAAACCAAATTAACCCGGACGACAAACGCGGGGGAGCGATGGTTTCAACTGTCCTCTTCAGCTTGACACCCAAGACATGAAAAATCTTGCAATGTATTCCTGCCCTAGTCAAGGGTTTGGTGCACAGCGGCTGCAAGCCGCCAAAAGCTTTTTGATGGCCCTTTCGACAAGGAGGTGAGGGCGGCTTCAAGGAGGAAGATAGCTGTCAAAGCCCCAGGCACACTACAGCGTAACCCCCAGATCCGGGCTTTCTCGCGTGGTTGCGGTGACTCGTTTGGAGGTGTCGGGGTGGGAGCTGACGAAAACTGAAGGGCAATGTCCTGGAATGCTGTGCCCGGACATGCTCCTGCCATACTCTGCAGGCCTGAATCATGAGAATAATGTCGTGGTGGTTCGTCAAAAGCCGCACCCTAATCCGCGACTCTCAAACTCGAAGATCCTCAACTCGAGCCCCACGGTAAAGGCCCAAGAATTAGGTACTTGGGTGTAGGATAGTAGTTTTGTAAGTTAGTCTTTCGGAATGTTGCACTTGGACCCTTGGAGTGGGCCCTAAACCCCAAGCCCCATGCCCTCAACCTCACCCGGGCCCTGAACCCTCGGACACTTTGCCTGCGACTGGGTACGCTCTTTTGCGGACACGCTGCCCGCCTGGGTATTAACATCTGCGGTTCATGTGGAGTGGGGCTGAGCCTGAATCCAAGAGCTCTGAGTAAGCGAAACCGTGATGCGAGCCATGGTGACCACACGAAGACAGGATGGGAGCAGGAGGAGGAAGAGTACGAAAACAAGAGCATTATGAACACAAGCGTTGTCATGATAGTAGTGCTACTGTAGAGCTACTAATCATAGACAGCGCTTGCTGCTGGAACCCTTTACAGCATGGCTGGCCGAGCTGGGGTCCTAACACCACACTGGAGACGCCATTCAATCCCTCCGAGAGGATCAAGCTTAGTATGAGGTTTAGGGTTTAGGGTTAGGGTTTAGGGTTTAGGACAAAATATCGACAAGTCGGCTTGCAAGTGCTTGAAATGGGATGATAAGTAACTACAGCTATACTTACAACCATAAACCCTGAACACAAACTTGCCTTCCTTACTAAGCCCCCAGATCCTCAAACCACCTGATCCCTGGGGTCTGAGAAAACTCGTTTTGGTACCGCCTTGGACTCTGTTATAGTATACCTGTATATCAAAAAGCCCTATTTTAGTTATTGCGGCCCCTGTATTTCATCTTAGGGATCCTGACTATGATTTCCTTGAAAATCCTTAATACGGAAGGTTTTTGCAGGTTCAGGTCGACCGTATGACAAGCACTAAAACTCGACACCCCCATTGGAAGCAGTTGGGTAGATGGCTGCCGAGACATCTGCATCTGTCTGCGCAAATGCGACCTTCGCACGGGGATGGAAGAACGGAGCAAAAGCCCTGAAAGTTCAAATCCCCGAGGGATGGAGCTCTGGCAAAGCAACCAGAAAAGCAAAGCCCACAAGACGCTCGGACCCCAACGGTAATTATGGGGCAAGACACATCGGAACAAGGAAAACTACACAGTATGAGTGCCATCGACCCTCGTCCTACGAACTACCGAGCCTTCGGGGGCGTCGTGGTAGGTGCCGGCGCCGGCGCAGGCGCTGCGGCAGGAGCCTGAGCTGAACGTCCCGTGGCTTCCGTACAGTTCGGGGTTCTGGGGCTGTAGGGCTTTGAGGTTATCGGAGTTTAGGGCTTAGGGGTTTAGGGGTTTAGGGGTTTCGGGGTTTAGGGTTTAGGGGTTTAGGGGTTTAGGGTTCAGTGGTTTAGCGGTTTGGGGGTTTAGGGTACAGGAGTTTGGGGTTCAGGGTTTAGGGGTTTATGGGTTTATGGGTTTAGGGGTTTAGGGTGTAGGGCTTTGCGGTTATCAGCGTCACCGTAAGGGCTCCTGAAAGGGGGAACGGGGGTTATCAGTTGAGGCTTGACAGGCGCAGGGGTGGAACCCCACCAAAAACCACGTAAAAACCTCATAAACCCCACACGAATCGTACTAAATGTAAATGGAACCACCATTTTACACCCCGCATAATATTGACACTTGAACATTGTGCATTGTACTCAGACTACGAGTATGCAAGGAAAATAAGGAGACACCATTGCTTATTCTTCAGACCCCATACTGCATGCCTTTGTCCTTATATCAGTACAGACATGAGAATCCGGCCTGGCTTTCCACCCGCGCAGGCGGAACAAAAGCCTGCGCAGTTGTTTTGGGCTTCGGAACTTCGGGCGTAAGAACCCCAAATCCCCAAACCCTAAACCTTTCGGCGCATAGGGAAAAGAGTTTAAGGTTGACGGTTTTGGGCTGCTTAGGGCTTCAGGTTTAGGCTGGATGTGCGGTTCAGAATATAACACCGAATATGTAATATGTGACATTACACGGATAATATACAATGCATACTGTATGAAAGAAAATTTAAAACACAGGGCATTGGTTCAGAGGCTCCTTCGTCAGACCCCCCGCATTGAACACCAGAACAAGCCCAAGGGCATGAAGCCACAACTACAAACCCTACAAAACCTGAAACAATGATATGGTTAAGCCTTGTACATTACGGCCTTAACCCCGAGCACTTGCACCCGGACACGAAGGAGTCGAGGTTAGGGACAACGCAAACCCAGAAAGCCTCAACACTCAGTACATGTCGGGTTTGGGGTTTAAGGCTCGGCTTTTATGTGCTGTTCGAAAAGATTTTCTGATGAAGACACGTTAAATCAATCAAGCAATGTTCCATAATTAAGGGATGTTTAAACCCCACGCCCTAAAAGAATCCCAAAACCCTGTGATAGGTCAGCTGCGGCCTCGGCCACCTTCGTAGGTGCTGGCGGAGCAGCCGGCTTGGCATCTCCTGCGCTTGGCAAATATCAAGGCTTTCCCCTTTGGGTTTAGGGTTTTTGGGTTTGGGGATACGTTCATTCCGTCTGGGTTTCGAACACTGCTTAAATTTCTCACACCGTGCAACCCGAAACCCCTCTTGCAGGATCCTGCAAAGGAACCCAATAGATCCCTTACAAGAACCTTAACCTTCATTAATCCCCCACTAAATCCCTCAAAAGCCCACTCGATCGGAAGGTTCTTCGTTTAAGATCTCAGGTCTGCAGGGGCTCGAGTCTGGAAAAGGTGCCTACGATTATAGCGTGCACGACGTCATGGGGGCCCGTGCTTTTGGCCTGCTTGCTACCCTGGAGTCGGATTTTGGGCTTGGCTCCAGAGATGAGCAAGTGTCGCTGAAGTTTTGCAGTGCTTTTAACAAGGAAAATTGAAGCGTAGATGGTGTTCCTAGTTCAAGCCATCATTGTTCATGGAGGCCCATTCTTCGCCACTCAACCTTCTAGGACGGCGGTACCAGCTATAGCCCCTTGGATTGTTGCTGCACCATCCATGCCATGAAGCAGGCGCAGGCTGCACAGACTCGGTTTTAGTTTTCGATCTGATCTGTCCCGTTCTATTTTCGTTTGCGCGAACTCACGCTCTGCTTCAGCACGCTCGGCTTTACTCTTTTCCAACTGACACTGGATTATGTGGCTATGGCTTTTCATCGTCTCTTTGCCCTTGAACTGCGGGAGCATGAGCAGCTGGGCTTCGAAGCCCAACCCAGGCTGAAATAAACCCAGTTCGGCCTGGCGCCATTGCTCCGAAGCAGCACCTCACCGTAGTGTCGAAGGCCTGCAGCGCGCCACGTGTTGGCGCAGAGGAGGCTTACAGCGCATGCTGCGGACCACTCGGGCATAGCCAGTGCAAGCTCGGAATGGCCGCATAGCCACCTGAGGGTCCTCAAGCTCCGCGATGGCATCGAGCAGCGCGGCCACGGACTCGGTCCACTCGGTGTGGTTGTGCACTCGAAGTCACGCAGAAAAACCCTACTGGAACCATCATTGCGCTGGACCAGGTCAGCTGGCAAACTGGTAGCTAATGTCGCGGGAAGCACCGGTCCCACTATGACCACTTCGCATTTAGCCAGGTTTTGTGTGAGGCCAATGGCAGCTGCCCGCCGTTGAACCCGAACGAAAGCACAGGCCACATCAACAAGCTCGCCAGCCAGCACACCTGTCCTCTGTTGCCTGTTGTTGTCCCGCTGTTCCCTCGGCTCGAAACTCCTACGGCCCACAGAACATGCATGGCAAAACACAGACACGACGTGCACGATGATGATCATGATAGCTACAGCCACGGAGGAGCTATCGGGATGACGCAATTTGCAGCAAGCTACAGACATTCTGTCTCGCGTTCTCCGAGCCAAAAACTTAAGCAATTCAGCTCATGCCATCATTGCACGCACGGAGCCATCCGTCCCCCTGTGCGTCAAACTCGTCGTCAATCGGATAGCTCTTTGATTCGGACACCACCCGTTGTTCTTGTTGCGAGCGAAACCACCAGGCCTTCCCATGCCAAGGCGAATTTCGATACCAACGTGCATTTTGCTCGCGTTCCTCATTCTTCTTCTTCCGTTTCTTCTCAGCACGTTCCTTCTTCTTGCGAACCTCCAAGTCTGCTTGCAACAACTGGACCCTGGCAAGCTCGACCTGCAACTCTAGTCGTCTGTCTTCTTGCGATGTCGTCAACTTCGGGTTCTCTGGCTTCTGCTTCTTGGGCTGCTTGCTTGTGCACTGCTTGGAAGGGCACATCCAGCGATCCCTCCCCCATTTGCCACAGGTCTTGCAGCGCACGCCAGCCATGGGAGTCTGGAGGATATGATGTTACAATGGGCGTGTGATGAACTGATGGCTGCGCAAACACATACATCGCTTCACGAGGCTAGGATTGATACTATAGCATTCACAAAACAAGCCGAATGCATTCCATCGCTCAGCCAATGGTAGGGCCCGTATCTGTGAACGGGAACTGTGTCCATTGTGACTGTCAACAAAAAACAAAATTTAGTTAATGATGTGGCAGCAGTATAGGATAACGACTACAATGCACACGATCTGAGTTTAAGAGGATCAAAGTTGAGAATCCCGCAACAACACGACATTGCTACTTGTACAAGACTACTATACCTAGATCTCAAGCGTTCGCTGCCCGCACAATGAACATGCTTTGGAAACGAATGTTATTAAGTGAGTGTACATATAATGCGAACTGACTGCTACGTTACAGAGTCGAGTAGTATAGGTTACACTTTGATGACATGCAAGCCAAGAAATGTTTATATCTTCGAAGCAGTACGCACATCTCTTGAAATATGTACAAAAACGGAACCGTGAAACGAGACATACATCAACACTTGCAAAAAGTAAAAATTGGCTGCACATAAAGAACATGTTACAAAAATCTAAACATGTATATATATATATATATATATATATATATATACATATATATATATATATATATCAGTATATCCACACATGCACACATACACACATATATATATATATATAGACATATATACATATGTGCATATGTACAGATGAGTATATGTATGTATGTACGTACGTAGGTATGTATGTATGTGTATATGTATATGTATATCTATATATATATATAGATATGTACATACATACATACATACATGCATGCATGCATACATACATACATACTTGTATACACTAATATATGTAGATATATGCTTGGGATTAATCTTGTTTATATATGCAAAGTAGTTTATACCAATACTAGCTGTAGTAATTTTCCAAGAGACAGGCCACAGGCCGCAGGACAGAATTGCTAATTTCGAGCTCAGTCGGCATCCCACTCTCAGCGGAAGGTGGGGGGGCCGGCGGGTGGGGGGGGGGGGCAACAAAAGCTTTTTCTTTTTGGTCCCAAATTGGACTAGCGAACCTAGACGAGAGACCTAAAATTCATGATTATAGTTATACGTACAGACTCAAATACTTGTATCTGCTTCCTTGAACATGCGGGAATGTACGTACACGTTAAACAAACCTTCACAACCATATGCGTATACACTACAAAAAAACGCTGGCCCCCATGACGCGGTTTTCTGCGATTAAAAGGATACTACAAAAGGTATTACAAGGGTACTTTATAGTTGCCCGAATGATGAGAACAAGGCTCCGGGGGATATCATAGCAAAAACATACCGAAGCACCCTAGACTCGCAGGTACTCATTCTTCAGACCTCTGTATTATCTAAAGATCTCTGCAGGTTTCGGGCCTCTGGCAACTAACTTTCAAGTGCTTTTAAAGGACTTCGAGGGCAGGTGATACGGTTTGAGGGTCGCGGGTGCTACATCTACGAACCCAAGCAGTGCCTGTCCCATGGTTACTGTCATTGTAGGAGCTCCTACTGTTCCTTCTAGTAGTCTTCAGGCCTACGGCATACGGGTCAAGGCCGGCGTGTAGGGCTTCAAGGGCTCATCGCGGTTAGCTTCCTAAACCCTAAACCCCTAAAGGGACCGTTGTAGGAACCCTTAAAGGAACCCTTTCCAGGGTTCGGCTTAGGGTTTAGTCAAAGAAATACGCAGGCTCCTACCACCTTGTAGCCCACAATCTCGGCGGCGACCTCGGCCTGGGTGCAGACTTTTAAACAGCTGGGCTTTAGGGTTTAGGGTTTGAGCCTTAGGGTTTAGGGTTTAGGCTGATGGTTTAAGCTGTCGGGTTTAGGGTATAGGGTTGTGGAGTTTTGGGGTATGGAGAATACCTAACAAGGTTAGGCAAAAAATGTAGAAGCACAAAATCCTCCGGCTGTTAGTAGCGAGTATGTCTTCCAGTAGTCGCGAAGATTTCGTGCAAACTGCACGTGGAGTGACTGTGCAAGATGGTACTCTCCCCTCATCCTTGAAGAAGGAACCCGTCATGATGTCGTCTCTGCATGCAAGCACTCATCATAAGATGCCGTGATTGAGCTCGTCGATACACTTCCCCGATCCCACCGAAACTATCGGAAACTGTTTACTAATCCATCTGCCGAAATCCGAAACAGGAAAACCGCCTGGCTGCACTGCTAGTGCTACTGCCCTGGGCCGCGCACCAGCGAGAGTATCCTCGGTAGCATTGATTCGCTACTTCTGGGGTTGATGTTTTCATCTTGAGCACTGGGGTCATCTTCTATGTTCTCACTGCTCTTACTAACAAACCTTCCAAGCGAAGCTCCAAGGCCAAGTATTGGTTATCATTATCATGGGCAACAGTTATGGTGTAGGAGACCAGCGACATGGTGGTTCAGCAAGTGGCTCTAAATTGATGAGGGCTTTGGGCCCCGTTTGGTTTAGTCCCTGGATTGGTTTAGGAGCTGAAGGCTTCGGAAGAATGCCAAGCATCACATTGAAAGGCAACAGGAGCGGGCTGAGTAGTCACAGTGTGGCGTTTTACCAGTACTACCCCCAAACACTCAGGAATATACACTCACTCATCTTCCTAAGGAGCCTTATATGCACTCGCAAACCGCCTCTGCCCCGAATATAAACCCGACTTCAGACGCGGATAACAGGAAAAAGAGGCCTAGCTTCGCACGAGCTTTCGACCAGAGGTCCAGAAGCATCACGGCACAATGGGATTAGGGTCTATGGTCCGGGGATTTTTGGCTTCAGGTATGGAATCTAGGGTTCAAGGTGTGTTGAAAGCAACCCTGATTACGGAAAACCCCGTCATATTACCAAAAGAGTTTGGTCATGATGAGGATGAAGATGTTGACGATGATGCTGTTAACAATGCTAGGGACCAAAAGAACAAACATAAAAGCTGCTGCAATATGTGAGCATTCACTTATGGGGATTTTTGCTGTCAGTGTTTGTCTTCACATCTCTTTACAACAGAAAGTAACAGAAAAGCAACAGAAACACTACTGACAGGCACTGTCACAATCATTGCTTTGTTGCACTTACCTGTATTAGTACCGCGTCTGTCCACGTACTACCAGCTCTATGAGAAATGTCTACAACACCAGTGTATAAACTACTCACATCCTGACCATCATTACCGCCAATGTGGCTGTGGCCGGCGTCAGCAGTGGCTCCTTCGTCGCCACACTTGCTATCATGAGTGTCATGAGCTGCAGACTGAAAGCGTTGCGTTTCAGATTGCAGGGACCTAATGTAGAGGCGAATGGTGAAATTGGGGGTGCTGGTGGAAAGACTTTGCGAACACCCTATAATCGCCATGACCTAGTTGAAAACCCTGACAAATCCCTGAAAAACAAAAATCTTATAAACCCTTGATACAAAACCACAAAACCCTCATAAAGAACTTACAGCACACCGTGAAGAACGATGAAACGCTGTATCGGAACCCCGTAAAACGCAGTGTATAAAACTCCTCATTCTATTCCTACGAAGAACCGAATGAAACCCTTCAAAACATACGGAACACTTTGTGGAAGCCTCAAAAACCCGTGTAAATACTTTTGAAACCGTCTAAAGCATCATAGGACCCTCCTCTATTTACAAAACCCCCTTTCGGAACCCTAAACCCTAAACCCTGAACCCCTCTTTTCTGCGAAAGTCTCGGGCGCCGGCATGTCGCGATCCTCCTCCGAAAGCTCCCCGGGCTTCATCTGGCGTTCCCAGAGGCTCCCATATCGCTTGATTAAGGAATACCTAGGGTTCCTTCAAGGGATCCTAGAAGGGATGTATTATAGGGTTTAAGGGAAATGGGGACTCCGATATCCTTTGATTTAGGAATATACCTTAACTTCTAGCAAGATCCCGAATATGATTTAAGGTATACTCCTTAAAACAGGGGTATTGGAGAGTCTGGGCTTTTAGGGGCTCGGCGTCTGGGGGGCTTAGGGCTTAGGGCTCTTTGGATTAACGGTTTCGGGTTTAGGGAGTTTAAAATTTAGGGCTCTATGGTTTTAGGGCATAGGGCTTTGGGTTGGAGGCTCTCAGGTTTTAGGATTTAGGATCAAAGGCTCTATGGTTTTAAGGCTCATGGATTCGGGTTCAATGACGCGCACGGTGCGTGCCAAGCTTGGAGCCCATCCCTGACAAAAGACATCATTCGTCGGGAGCGCGATCTTGTCATCAGCTCAGCAACGGAGATAGCATCTGCCCTAAACCTTAAACCCCAAACCTTAGAGCTGAACCCCAAACATCCAAAACGCAAGGCATAGGCCGCCCACCTACTGTGAGTGGGCGGTGCTTAGCAGAGCGACCAAAATACGCCTGCCCGCCTACTCACAGCCATGGCGACGGTAGCACCCACGTCAGGCCCGGTATCGGAGCAGGTTGCCAGTACTGGTCCCAAAAAAACCCTTCACTTCCAGGGCGGTTTTCTGCATGACCCCCTCCGAACAGGGACCCGGAGGGGCCTGGGGCTTCCAGCGAGCAGAATTGAAGCACCTAGCCCTCGAAAAGAGTGTCCACAGCAGGGTTGTTCCCAACAGTCAGCGTTCGAACGTTGAACATACATCCACCGACCTCTCTAAGAACTGATGCGGCATAGAATAGGGAGCACATACAAGGCGAATGCAAAGGCAGGCTGCTTTATAGAACCACGCGATACTCCAGCCAGCATTTCCACCAACTCCAAACGGAACCCGCGTCAGAAATGAATCATCCAACTTGCATGGCACTATGTCAACGACGGTGGCAATTTCACGACGAGGATGATGCAAAAAGGAGCTTGGATGAGATGCAAGATGCAAGGTTAAATCACGTCCGACAGTGAAACCGCACATGATACAGAACCGTACTCGCTCGCCCATCCATTCGGTCCATCCACAAAGTACAGGGAGAGCCCGCCCTTTCCAAAAATAATCGGATCAAGCACG